ATCGCTCCATTTGAGGGGAACCCCGCCCAGCTCGGCTTCGCAGAAAGGGCAGATCAACCTGGGGTTTAGGCCTTCCAGATGGGGTCGGAGCGATGTTTCTACGCCGACGGCGCCCATGCACCGCCCACGTCGCCAGTGCATACGGTCGGTTCGCGTCGTGTCGACCCGCGGCGACCCCGCCGTGGGTGTTCAAGGCTACACGTCGCTGGCGACCCAGAGTCGGTCGATGTTGAACGATCCTGACGTTTCGGGAGCGGCCGATCGTTCAAGGTTGAACGGTCTCCGCGGTGTCAGGAACCAAAGCCGGGGTCGACACGACACGAATAGTCGATGCATCGCCACTGCATCGTCGATGCATCATCGATGCGGCGCGATCCTCCGACACCATCTAGGAGAACTCTAGGGGGGGATGCGTTCTTCGGTCTGCCGTGCTTGCCTGCCGCGATGGTCCGCTGGATGTGCCATTCTGAGGCAATCGCGAATCGAACATGCTCTCTACTCTGGATGGGACAATAATCGCCCCCCCTTGGATCCGCTGGGGGGGGAGGGCACGTGCTGTCGGAACGGGTGGAGGGGGGGCTGGAGGAGGAGGGGAAGAAGGAGGAGGGGGAGGAGGAGGATAAGGAGGAGGAGGAGGAGGAGGTGGAGGAGGGGGGGGATGGGCAACGGCCAGTCTTGGCCCCCACATCTGCTGGTGCTCGCGCGCATACTGCTGCGATCGCAGCGCACCCCCGCACCGACGTGCCCCACCCCGCCCAAGCGTTCTCTCCCCGATAACGGCCGTTACCGGGCATGACATCATGCAGCAGAGCAGCCTGTGCCGTCACAGCAGGAGCAGAGGCAGGAGGAGGGACACCGAAAGGAAGGACGCGATCGACCACCCGTCCAAGGGCTCAGTGCGGGTTCTGGATAGGCTGGGTGGGGAGGTTTCTCTCCTCGTCCTGGCCCTTTTTTTGTTCTCTCTCTCTCTCTCCCTCTCTTGGGCCTGCTTTGGGTTCGCTTCTGCTGCTCGACTTGACCTCTTGCTGCGACCTGTGGTTCGTGGCGGGGGAGGGGGGAGGAGGAGCGAAGGATGAGGAGGAGGAGGGAGGAGGAGGGGGAGGCGGGGCAGGGGAGGTCGTCGTCGTCGTCGTCGTCGTCGTCGTCGTCGTCGTCGTGTCGCCCCTCAAGGAGGGGGAGAATCGGGAGTCCCCGGAGCGGGCCCCCCTCCCGCGCGGCTTCCCGCGCCGCCCTCGGGGAGGCCGACCCCGACGAGCGAGTCCAGCGGGCGACCGACCGCGTGGTCATCGCCGAGATCGAGGCTACTCAGGCGTTGCGGGGGAGGTGGAGGAACAGGTGCCGATATCGCTACCCTTCCTTCGTTTTCGCCTCCTGCGGCCTCCTGCGAGGCCCTCGTCGCCACCGCTGGATTCGCCTCGGAATTCTGGTCAGAACGCGCCCCGGGAGGTCCGGGGAGCAGCGGCATCGGTACCTTCTGGTCTCCCCAGTAGGGGGTGGCTGGCGCTGGAGCGACGCTTCCAGACCCAGACCCCCTCGAGTCGCGATCAAAAAACGATGCGAGTATTTCCGGGGCCCCAACAGGGCCCCAGAGCTGTTGAACACGACTGGGGATGGAAAGCCGGTTATCCCGCTAGATCGGTTCGCCGTTCGCGGATCGGACGGCGTGCGGCGACAGCTGCATCGCCGCTTGGACAGGTTGCCTTTCTATGTTTTCCTTCCTCCGCGAACGAAGTATGCGCAGTCAGTCCTTTCGTTCCATCGCGCCGTGTTTCGCTTCGCCAGCGACGCACCGCATCCGAGTTCTGAACACGACGCAACTTCGTGTCTTCGTTTCCCGATCGAACGAAGTATGGGCCTTGCCTGCGTCGCTTGTTCGCTTCGCTCGTCGTGCCGGACGAACGGAGTAATGACGCGTCGTCGTGTACAGTCAACCCGCATAGTAAGGATGGTAAACCTTCCCAAGGGAACCCTGGCATCCTTGCCTCCTAGGTCCATCCTTGGCCACCTTCGTTGGCCGCGCCCCGCTCGAAAAGCTTCGATGGGCTTCCAAGGCCCTTGCATCCTTATTCCGCATCCTTATTATACGGGTTGACTGTGCTTCGCTTGTGAGTCGGCGCGCGAACGTGGTGACGCGGACGCGCAACCTCGGGCGATCGTGCGCGTGAAGTTCGTCAGCGGGCAGGGGCGCGCCACTACGACGTGTCCCTCCGCACGCACAGCACCGCGCACGTGTGACCGATGTTCCTTGCATTACTTCGCTGCATCGCGTCGCTCGTCGCTTCGGGCGAGCGACCCAATGGCGCGTCGTCTCGTACTCCGCTCGTGAGCCGGCACACGAGGGTGGTGACGCGTGCGAGTAATGTCGGTCGATTGTGGGCACGGGGCCAGGCCGTAACTTCGTCTTGCTCCGCGAAGAAAATATTGCTCACGAGTTACCCGCACGCCGCGATTTCGTAACATCGCTTCGCGATCGAACAACGTCTGAGCTCCGCCCTGCTTTGATTAGCTGCGTCGCTCGGCGCAGGCGTATTTGCGTTCGAGAGGGCCACCGCATCACGCAAAACTTTGTTCGCTCGTCCTCCGAGGCGTTGCTTCGCGAGGAGTAGCCTCGAACATTTCTGGCTCTTGCTGCCCCCGGCTTCCAGAAGTCCATGAGCCCTCCAAAAACCTGCGAAAGGCCACCACGAATCGCTCTTGATGTCCCTCCCCAAATCCTGGAGACAAAGACCTTTCCATCACCTTCCCAAGTCCCTGGTCTGCAAGATTCCCCAAGAGGGCTCCAAAGGTCACTACCAGGCCGCTGAGATGCCCCCCTCAAACCTTCGTTACCCCCCCCCTGATTACTTTTCTAACCTCCTGCTCCCCGCGATCCCCCAAATGGCACCCATACGCCACCAAGAAGGGCGCAATACGCCCCGACCAACGTCCTCGTCAGAAAGACACCCCCTGACCTTCCCAACCCCCTGCAGATGGGGAGGTAGCCGTCCTAGGGGGACCCATCCAGCAACCTGTCACCAGAGGCTCCTCCCGCCCCCATGCCTGGGTTGTAGGTCGGATGCCTCTGGGATGCCTTCGGCGATCTCTCGCGAGGCCTCTCGGAAGCCTGCCAGATCCGGCCTTGGTGTGCCTTCGGAGCTTCTCTAGGGGAGGTCGTCGGAGAGCTCTCGGGGGCCTCCTGACGGTCTCGGGACGAACCCCCTCGCGGTAACTAGTTTTGAACGCATGCACGAAATGTGCATCCCGTCGCAATAACTGGTTCCGAACGTATGAACAAAGCCGGTTAGCACGTAGCTCGCACCCCACGCTGCAGCGAACCTCGTTCGCCCCCCTCCCCCCAGGAGGGGCGAAGTAAGAAGGTACGTACCCCTGCCGCGGTACCTGCCTTCGATCGTGTGAGCGACGGGCTTGGACCGCAAGAACGAAGAAAGTACGTCAGTATCCTGCTTCTGCGCGATCCCGGGCTTCGTTTGCACCCCCGGAGGCAATGTACGTACGTAGATATCCGAGCTGTGCCTTAACTCACCTCGTTTGCCCTCCTTCCCCCGTCTGCCAGCTCATTGCTATCAGGTGCATCCTTTGGTTGCCTCCTCCCCCCGCATCCCCTCCCACCCCATTCGCTCAGCAGAGACGTATGCGATTTCAAACTTGCTTCTTTCGTTCGCCTACCCTGAGCGAAGTTTCGAACAAGCATTTCGGGGTACTGCCTGGGCCCAGGGGAAGCTCCAGGGATCCACGTTGCGAAAACATCGCGGCGTCGGGGCTCTGGGGACCCGGCCCTGCGACGATTTTTTTTTTTTTTTTTTTTTTTTTTTTTTTTTCCAATCCAGGCGTTTTCCTTCGATTGCGGCTTTGTGGGGCCCGTCTTCTCGGGCCCTGAGGCCACAAAAGTCCGCCCAGGGCGACAAGCTTGTCCCCGGGAAGGGGTCGGGACCTCCTTGGGGCCGCGCGTTGAAAACTGAGGCAACGCACTGCAACCTTCCGACTGACAGCGTTCTCAGGAGCAACAACATCACGACGACTGCAGCGACTCTGATGGGATCACGGCACGGTGACGCTTGTGAGACCCCCTGAAATCTAGACCTGCTTCTCCTCCTCCTCGCAGCACGTCTTGAATCATTTTCCACGGAGTTCTCGTGCCCAGACCCTAGAGCACCGATGCCAGTATTGGCGGTTCAGGGGTGCGTTTGTTCATGGATTGCTTGTTCATGGGTCGCCCATTCAGCCAGCGTTCCGAAGGCCACTGCGACTTGACGCTGGTTCTACCACGGGTCATTGTATCACATGTGGTTGGAAAGTGATTTTCCAACCAACGTTTGCGCTGAAGGGGTCCTAGCGGAAATTGAAGAGTATAGGCGAAAACACCCTGCCGATTTCGATAGACGGCCGGGTTCTCAAGTTCCTGGGCTTCTGAGGTCGTGGTTTGATGCTTGGCAACCTGAACTTGTACAGGCGTGGCGAAAAGGCCGGGCCTGCTTCGGTGGGCGGCCTGGTTCTTGTCTTCTTGGTTCCAGGTACCAGGGTTCTTGTGTTCTTGGTTGCGGCCATGCGCCCGGGTCCTGCGAGCACATGCAGAACAGATAGTAGACATGGATAGAAAGAGCAGAGAGAGAGAGAGAGACAGAGTTAGAAGCAAAGTATTGGGTATCATGCAGCGTGTGTAGAGGAGGTAGAGGAACTAGAGAGAGATAACGAGAGGTCGAGAACGAGAGAGAGAGAGAGGGATAGGAAGCGAGAGAGGGAGAGAAGGAATGAGAGAGAGAGATACCAACACAGTATTAGAGAAAGGGAGAGGTGATACAGAGACACCTATTGATATATAAATAATGCAACGACGAATAAAGCCACAAACACATAACGAAAAACATACAGAGGGAACAAGAAAGAGGGAGAGAGAGAGAGAGAGATAGCAGAGAGCACAAAGCAGAGAGCAGAGAGCAGAGAGCAGACAGCGGGAATGTGCCTGGCGTTCTGACTTCAGCCCAACTCCGAGAAGAGGATGTGACCAGTGCTGCGACGTTCTGGAGGCTACGTGCGCCGCAGTGGAAACACAGCTGCAAGGCAGAGTGTGGCTGACTGTCGGACTCACGGTTCCCGGTTGCTGTGCCACAGCGCCCGCTGCCACGTTGGTCTAAGTCATTTAGGCTCAAATTTTCTCGGCTCAGCCACTACGCCTCGCGCCGGCTGCCCCTACCGGGCGCCCCGCGAGATGGGCCCAGAGATGGACCCGAGCAGCTTCGACATGGCTTGCATGCAGCACGATATGGCGGCGATGATTACGATGATGGCAGGCATGTCCAACACGCCGTCGCACATGACGTGCAGCCAGACAGCGGACATGTCGAACACAGTCTGCCTATCCGACAGCTCTGGACAGTGGACGGTGGTGGGAGCAGAGATCGTGCGGGATTTGTCTGAGTTTGGCGAGATTGCCCGCCTCGACACCTGTCTCGCAGGCACGCTCGGGACGGTGCTGGTGACGTACTTCGACGTGCGGAGTGCCCAGAACGTCATGCTGCAAATGGCGTCCCGTGCCAAGCCCTTCCAGCCAGCATCGCACGACTGCCGCATCGTGTCGGTAGATCTTCAGGGCTTCGGCGCGAAGATGGGCCACATGGGAGGATTCCAGCACTTTGGCGAGGTGGCCCACGTCGACGTGCTCGGCGGGCAGGCAATCGTCGAGTTCTACGACCTGCGCTCCGCACAGGCGCTCCTGGCGTCTGCAGGTGACTGCGCCTCCCCGGTGCCCGCGGGCGCTGCCGCGCCGCCCTCGCCTCACCAGCTGCGCGATCCGATGGAGGCTATCCCCGCGCAGCTGCCGGCACCGCCTGGCCTAGGATCAGGCAGTGGCGAAGCGTCCCGGCGTGCGTATAGGCCTACCAAGCAATGTTCTAAAACCCTTTTTGTGGTTTCCATGAAATGTACTTAGAGCCGTTCTGGCTCGGACTGTATTGTTGTATCACAGCGGGCACATGTTCTAAGACTTAGAGAACATTTTTGGGTGCGAAGAAGATTTCGTGGCAGGCCTATAGGAATGCCAGGACGGTCGGTCCCTGCTCAATAGGACGCCCGGCGGCAGCTTCCTGCAAGGCAGGCGTCAAGGGCAACGGCGGCATCCCAGACAGCGCCGCAGGGCAGGCCGGCGACGCGCCCAAGCACCGCGTGGCGAGGACCAAGATCACCGACAAGGACTTTCAGAAGTTCGACATCCATCCGGACGCCATACTGCGCGGCGCGGACAAGCGCACAACCGTCATGGTCAGGCACCTGCAGGGCGCCTGTGCGAGAAAGGACTTCCTGTCGTTCCTGGACAGGTGCGGACTCGGCAATCGGTACTCCTTTTTCTACATGCCGTGCAAGGAGCATCGCAATGTGCCGGCAGGGTTCGCATTTGTGAATTTTGCCGCGCCGCAAGACGTGCACACACTCTTCAGCGCGGTGGCGAGCGGACTCTGGCGGGAGGTGTGCGGCAACTCGCCCACGAAGTCACCTGCCGTCAGCTACGCCCGCTTCCAGGGCCACGAGGACTTGGTGCAGCACTTCAGCCTCTCGGTCGTGCTCCAGGAGCAGGACCCCGAGAAGCGCCCGATCTTCCGGCCCGAGGTGGCCAACCAGTGCCAGGTGGCCACTCGCCCGACCAGCGCCAGCGGCCCGATGAAGGTCGGCCAGGCCCTGCCCATCCCCAGCCCGCCCGGGATGGCGGACGACGCCGACGTGGCCCCCCACGCCGATGCGCCGGGGTTCGGCGGGGCCGCAGCAGGGAGCCTGGCGCTGCAGATGTCCAGCCTGCAGCTGCAGGAGGCGGTGGAGGGGCTGCTGCGCAAGCACGTGCAGGGAAGGGCGCAGAGGGCCACCGGGGAGAGGACCTCAGCGGAGGAAAAGGTGCCGATACCGCTGCCCTTCTCTCGTTTCCGCCTTAGTGGGCCTCTTGGGAGGCCTTCGTCGCCACCGCTGGGTTCGCCTCGAGATTCTGGTCCGAGCGCACCGCGGGAGAGGAGGTCCGGGGAGTGTAGCGGTGCCGGTCTACCTTTTGGTTTCGCCAGGATCAGCTGCGATCAGAGCTCGGCGGCAGGGCCCGCGGCGGGCCCAGAGAAGATGAGGGCTATGGTCGGTGCCATAGGAGACGAGGAGTCTGATGCGTTCTGTCAGGGCATGACAGGGGCCTGAAGAGTCGCAGGAGCGCGACGCCTGGGAATGCGCAGGCGTTTGTCGCACCTTCGAGGGCAAAATTCTCCCACCGGGGTCCCCGTGGTTCATTGGTGCTTGCAGGCGCCCTCTTCCGCCACACGGTTGATTGCAACCTTGTTGCCCTTACCTGTCTGAGCTAGTTGTGCTCCTCCTCCTCCTCCTCCTCCTGCTCGTGCTGGCCGCCAGTCTATGCTAATGTGGCTCGAGCTGGGACCCTGTGCACTTTACGGCGCAGTCCACACTACTTTCTGACAGTTTTTGATGGTGTTGCCCAGCGTGACGCTCGCTGCCGAAGAGGCAGAGGGATTCCGTCGGAATCATAACCGTTACACAGCGGCCTAGGCGCGATGCTCGTCTACGGCGCCTGTTAGCAGAGGACTTGTAAGGGCTGGGTGGGCGTTGGAGCCGGCTGGGGGGGGCTGAGGCGGCCCAGCACTGGGTCCGGCCAGCAGAGGCGGGGAGAAAGGGCGGCCCTCGTCGCCATGCCTGGACGCGGCTCGAAAACTTGTCGGTTGCGACTCCAGGAGAGGCCTGGGGCTTGATTTTGAGCGACTCTGCCCTCACCCTCCTTCTTGACCAATTTTCCCTCGGCCTGTCCGGCTCAGACCCCCTGGCCGCCCCCAAGCTGGGGTGGGCGGTGGCGAGGCGGTGGAGGAGCAGTTGCAGAGGCGCGGTGCGGCCTGCGTCGCAGGTGGAGCTTCTGAGAATTGTCTGGCGTTCCAAATTGTATCAAATTGTCTGGCCGATCGGGCCACGGGGCAGGCTTTTGAAACCCCCGGGGCTGGGCCCGCTTCCTCCAGCTTGCAATCGCCGTCGCGGCGCGCCACCACAGGCGGGCGGGGGCCCCCCCCGCCCTGCTCCCTCCCCTCGCATGCCCCAGCCCGCCCTCTTCCTCCACAGGCCCCCGCACCCGCGACGCGCGCCGGCGATGATGCCCGCTCCGCTTCCAAATGGGGCGTTGCGTAATGGGGGGGGCGACAAGTGGGGGGCGACGAGAGGTGCAGCTCTTGTGCCTTACAGGGGCCGCCTGGGGCCCAAGAGGGGGCACAACAGGTGCGCGTTCCTTCGCCCAAATTCGCCCTCGCGCACCGCAGCCCGTGCCCGCCGACAGAGGCGCGCATAAGTTTCTCCTGGTTCCAACGGGCTGGCCGTGGCGCTTCGACGGAAAAAAGCAGCCGCCCCACCGTCCGAGGCGGCCACCCGCCCGCGGCCCCCCTCCGGAGTGCGCTGGGAGGGCTGCTGCTCCTGCCCGTGCATCCGGGCCTCATGGGCGGGGCCCGCAGCGGAGGTGCCCGTCAGAGGAGGAGGCGGCACTGACACCGCTGCCCTGCCCCCTCGTTCCGGGCCCCCTGGGAGGCCCTCGCCGCCACGCCTGGACTCGCCCGGAGATCCGGGTCGGAGCGCACCCCGGGAGAGGTCCGGGGAGTGCAGCGGTGTCGGTCTACCTTTTGGCTTTCCCAGCTCGGAGGATCGCGCGGCGTCGCCCACGCATCGGGGATGAGGCGCGACACGGGGCCCGCTCCTCTCCATCCCGCCGTCGCCGATGTATCGGCGATGCAGCCAGATCCTCCGACCATGCCTCCTCCGGCCCAACTTGGGAGCAGGGCTCGAGCAGAACGGTGCTCTGGGCGATTTCGCAGACCGTTTCGTTTTGATGTCGTTTTGCGGCAGAGGCGGAACGAAGACAAAACGAAGACAGAACGAAAGCGAGAAACGGCACGAAACAGCACGCCAACACAACGAAACCAAAACGACACCCAAACGCAAACAGAGCGAGAACGAGAACCACTGTTTTCTGCTCGAGCCCTGCGGTGCCCCCCAGAGGGGGCTTCGCCAGCTTCACGGAGAGAGGGCCGCTGGTGCCCTCTCCTCGGCGGAGGCCGGGTGGGAAGCAGTGCGTACCTCCCGAAGAGATGGATTTTGGGAGAGGCCTCCCCCGGCCCCCCTCGAGGCAGGACAAGAATCACGACGCCAGGTTTTTCCATACTTTCGCCCTCGGGGGGCCCTCACCGGGCCACAAGGCCGTCAGACAACGACCCAGGATGAAAAGCTGGTCCCAGGGACGGGGTCCAGACCTCTGGGGGTCGACGTCATGGGACAAATATGCCGTCGGGGGGTCAGGAGAGCGTTTTGCTATCCCCTGGCGATGACTGGCGTGAGCCGGGGAGGGGGGGGGGGCGCAAAGGGCCAGTCAGGTCACGATTCGCGCCAGCGCCGCAGGGGAATGCTGCGGAGTGGCTAATTCCCACGCGGCGCAAGCGCGAACCGTGACGTGACCACGGGGGGGGGGGGACGGGGCCAGTCACGGGCGTGATCGCGAACAATAGAACATGGGTTCCAGACGAAGCGGAGAAACACGATCGTCTGCCCTGAAGATGCAAGCAGGCCCGGCCCAGAGCCTACTATCCAGCCCAGCTCAGCATGGCAAGACTGGCATGCCACGGCGCTGAGGCCAGCTTGGCTCGGTCTCTCAGTGGGGTGGGGAAGCGTTATCGCGAATCGTAAAGGCATGGCTCCAGATTTCCCACTGCAGGCCATGCAGCGCGTTCTAGTGCAGGTCTCGCCTTCCGCCTGCCTCGCCCTCGGCGGCCGGCGGCGGGAGTAGAGAACGGCCGCGGGCCCTCTGGCGGAAGGTCGGTGGAAGGCGGCGGAAGTAAGAGGAGGCGTCAGCATCCTAGCTGCCTCGAGACGCCCGTTTTGGTACGCAACACGTACGGTGCTTAAATCGTCCGTGTCGGTACGTTGCGTGTTGGCGAACATCATTATCGCATCAGGCCTACGTGTTCAGTCTACGTGTGGAGCTCCGTATCAATGTGCTGCGGCGTGTTGTCTGTTGCGTATAGGGGCAGCGAAGGTCAGCATGCTTTGGTGCAGGATTTCCAGAGTCGGCCAGGTTGGTTACGGCCCAGTGCTCGGGAAAACGATGGGTTCGGGCCCAGCGGAATTTCGGCATTCTGGGAGCGCTGCCTTCTGCCATGCACGGGGGGGGGGACGCCCCCCTGCAGAGGGGGAGGACGGAGCGAGGAGCAGGGGGAGAAGGGGAGCGCGGAGCGTGGAGCCTGTAGGGGGGGGGTCGCACCTCCGGGGGGGGGGTCGCAGCCTGCGCCGTCCCCCACGGCAAGACTGCGCGCAGTGGGACGCCTCCCGCTCCCGCCCCTTCCCCCCTCTGCTGCAACACAGGACCTTCCCGTTCCCGCGGGGGCACCAACCCGTGACGTAAGCACGCGGTCGGGAACGTTTGCGCCGCGTGTCGCGCCGCCGCATCTGGCCCACCGCGCTCCGGCGCGATTCGTGGAGCACATCCCGGTCCTCAAGCAGCAGCGCTCCGAGTCTTCCCCGGGTACCGCGTCCCACGAAACAGAGCGACACGCTCCCACAGCCTTCGGTGGCCACGTGCGAACCCTACCCCCGCCTCCCCCCTCAGAGATCGTGGGGGGGTGGGGCAGGGCTCGCATGTGGCCTCCTAGGCCTGTTGGCCCCCAAGGGGGCCTGCGGATTCTAGCCCCTCCTCATCTTCCTTCTGTCTGGCGATCGCAAACATGGATTCATGGGGGCGTGGATCAGCGACGGGTCTCGTTTCCATGGGAAATCGCGGATCTCCGCCGCCGAGCGAGGCGGCACCGGCCGCATCTTGGGGAGGGCACCTCCCCCAATCCATGAATTTAGCGACCGCGCGCCAAATCCATGTTGGCGCGCGGTCACTGAATCCATGTTGGGTCGCTGATCCACGCTGGATCGCAAACCCATGCTGGATCGCCACATCCAGCATGGGCTTGGCGACCGCGCGCCAAAGCCGTGGAGCGCTGGTCCCTGCTGGCGCGCCCCTGATTCTGGAGGGGCTCCGGGCGGTGGAGCGCCTCGGAGCCGCCGCGCGTCTCGGGCCTCCGGCGTCGTGCGCGTTCTGCAGTCGGGCCGAAGGCACCGGCTCGAGGTCGGCCTCGGGGGAGGGGTGCCCCCGAGGTTCTTCGTGCCTGCCGGGTGCTGTTGTGCATCTTGCAGGACTCGACCCGACTCGTGGCACACGGGGGTTCATCCTGCAGCCACCCATCCTGCCCCGAGGCCCCCTCCAGGGCCCTCGGGGGGATAAACAATTTGGTCGTCCTCCCCGAAGCATCTTGAAGGAGGCTACCCTCGTTGATCTCATGGTCTGGGGTGTTTTGTCTTGCGCAGGGTCTCATGTTCTTGAAGGATGTTCTTGTGTCCTAGGTCCGACTGCATTTTGCGGTCGTTCTGTTAAGACGTGGCCCCCAGAGCTGTCGATCCTGCCCCTGGGACCAGCTTTTCACGCACAGCCTCAGTTGCCCCTGGGACCAGCTTTTCACCCGTGTTGGAACGCAACACGCACCGTGTTCAAAACGTCCGTGTTAACACGCTGCGTGTTGGTTCGGCAGGTGTTGCCCGTGTTTTGGCGGAAGTGCCGCACCAGACCTACGATTTCAGCCTGCGTGTTGAGCTCCGTGTCAAAACGCTACGTGTTGCGTGTTGCGTATCGGGGCAGCTAAGCGCGCAACGGTTTACACATTTCTTTTTGATACAGCTCGAGCTAGATCGCTTGCCCGCGCGTCGGGCGGCGCATGCTTTGCGAGCGCGTACAGTCGGACCGAGGTATAAGATCGAGGTCGATTCGGGGAGTGTAACCCTATGTCGGTGAGAATCGCACCCTGGGGATAACAGAGTTCGGGGTCCTGTGAGGATCGTAATCTTTCCGGGAGGTATCGATGTTGGGATGTCTGGACGGGTCTTGAATAAATTCCAAGCTGATCTGGAGGAGTCTTCCCTTGAAGCTTGTTTGAAGGAGTTGGGTGAGCGCGAATCCTGAGAAGTATGATGGTGGAATGATGCACTGGCCACTCTTGGGAGGCCTGCCTTGAGGTATGGGACGAGTACGAAAGCTGTGAAATGCTATGGTTCCATGACAGATTGGTCCCTTTGAGGGGAAGTGCATTGAGATGTAAGAGGGGCAGGAAACCTGTGAAATACTAAAGTGCAGTGGCTCATTGGTCCCTCTGGGCGAGCCTCTCTGGAGGCTTGCGAAGAAGAGAAATATGGTATCTTGGCATCAGAATCCCTCTCCAGTGCCTTTTGGCGGTGCTTCCCAGGAGGAGTTGGATGTGCACGAATCCTGAATCAAAGATTCGGACCTATCAAAATCCATTTGTAGAACTAGAGGGTTCTTGGTGGTGTACTATTCGTCGTGTAGGAGTACTCATGTTTGCTCTCTGGGGTGATACACAATGACAGCGATAGACAAGTTCAACTGGGGCGCGGAGGGAGGAAGGAGGGGAGGGGGAGTAGAAGGAGGAGGAGGAGGAGACAAAGAAGAGAAGGAATATAACTAAGAGAATATCTATATAAGATAATGAAGAGAAGGAGGGCAGGAGAAGGAGAAGAAGGAGGAGGAGGACGTCCAGGAGAGGGAGGAGGAGGATGAGGAGTAGATTTCAAAGGTTCGTACCTATGAAAGAGCGCGTTCTGTGGTCGCTTGGAAGGGGGGGGTTGGAACCGAACCCCCCCCCCCCTGGGTGGAGGGGGGGGGGTTCGAACCCCTCCTCCCCTTCCCGTGACGGAGTGGGGGGGGGTTCAAAATCCCCCCCTCCCCCTCCCTCCCTTACTTTTCCTCTCTCCCTTTCCTCGGGCTGGCGCCTGCGTCGGCGGCGGCTGGCGGCGGCGGCGGGGGCGACGACTTCCTTTTCTGGGCCGGCGCCGGCGCCCGCGGCGGCGGGCGGGCGGCGGCGGGGAGCGTCGACGAGGACGACGGCGACTACGATGACGACGACGACGACGACGACGACGACGACGATGACGCTCCGCCACCGTGCCTTGGTTTTGGGTCAGAGTCCTAATGGATGTCTCTTGGGGTCTCGTCGGAGGGCTCTCGGGACCCTCTGAAGGGCATTTGTGAAGCCTCCTGGGCGCCTCTTGGGCGTCTCTTGGAGCCTCTCTGAGGTGGCGGTGGTGGTGGTGGGCTGTGGTGGTGGTGGTGGTGGGCTGTCGTGGTGGTGGTGGTGGTGGAGGTGGTGGTGGTGGTGGTGGTGTGGTGGTTGGTGGTGGTGGGGGTGGTGGTTGTATGTGGTTGTTGTGCGGTGGTGGTTGCAGTGTGTGCTGGTGTGGTGGCGGTGGTGGTGGTGGTGGTGGTGCGGTGGTTTTTGGTGGTGGTGGTGGTGGTGGG